TGCTGGGAGTACCGGGGAAGGGAAAAGGCTGGGGGTGGGGGTGGGGGGGAGCCGCAGGCCTGGGGATGCTGAGTGCCTGCTGAGTTCCGGGGACAGAGAGAGAAGTGGCTAGGGAATTAGAGAGTGCCAAGGACAAAGTGCACCAGCCGGGCCTTGTTGTGTGGCCAGAAAGGAACCAGGAATAAAGCGCAGGGGTTTCATGAGCACGGTTTTAATTGGCCCCAGAGCCCCGCTGACCCGGCCTGGATGCTGCAAAGTTGGAACTGTCAGCGCTGGCTGATGTAGGGACTGGCAGGACCACATCCATAATTGCCTCAGAGAATTGCTGGCCCTTGGATCGCTGGCACGGGATGCTTTTCCCAGGCACTGACTGCGGAATTGGCTCTAGAACACAGAGTGTCTCACCAAAGCTGTAGAATGGCAGCTCCCTCAGACACTGTTGTCCTCTGAACTGCGTGCCCTCAAAATTCGTATGTTGGAGTCCTTAACGCCTAGTACCTCAGAATATGCCCTGAATTGGAAATATAGTCATTGCGGATGTAATTAGCTGAAATGGGGCCATACTGGTGAGGGTGGGCCCCTAATCCAGGATGACTGATGTCCTTATAAGAGGGGATATTTGGGCACAGGCAACATGTAGATGAAGAAATGACACAAGGTGAAGATGAAGAAATAGATCAGAGTAATGCAGAAGCCAAGGAACGCCAAAGACTGTCAGCTAACCACCAGGAGCTAGGAAGGAGGCACGGAACAGATTCTCCTTTGTAGCCCTCAGAGGGGGCCGATGCTGTCACACACCTTGATGTCAGACGTGCAGCCTCGAGAACTGTGACACAATACATTACTGTTGTTGAAGCCACACAATTTGTGGTACTTTTTAAAAAAATGTTTACTTATTTTGAGAGAGAGAGAGAGTACACAAGTGGGGAAGGGGCTAAGAGAGAGGGAGAGAGAGAATCCCAAGCAGGCTCCATGCAGACGGCACAGAGCCTGATTCACAGACTCTCAAATCGTTAGATCATGACCTGAACTGAAATCGAGTCAGATGCTTAACTGACTGAGCCACCCAGGCGCCGCTGTGATACTCTTTTCTAGCAGCTTCAGCAAACTAGTACAGAGGCCTGTGCTCCTTCCCCACTTTCCTCATCTCTGCAGTTCTGGGTAGATGAACGCAGCCAATGACTTGTGCCCATGACGAGGAAGCTCCCAAATAGCTTCACATCTGAATCCACTTAAAATGAAAGTTCTCAGGGTGCCTAGGTGGCACATTCGGTTGAGTATCAGATTTCAGCTCAGGTCATGATCTCCCCGTTTGTGAATTCAAGCCCCATGTCAGGCTCTGTGCTGTCTTGGAGCCTGGAGCCTACTTCAGATTCTGTCTCTCTCTCTCTTCCTTTCTCTCTCTCTGCGCCTTCCCTGCTCATTTTCTGTCTGTCCTTCTCTAAAAAATAAATAAACATTAAAAAAAAGAAAGTTCTCATTTCCTCAAAAAGTTCTGGGAAAGGAGATATAATGGATATTTCAGGCACAAGGCAAAGGGGATAATTTTTGATAAGAGGACTCCTTTAATGCCTCTGAAATGATCACAAATAGGTTGTTTGATCTATCTTCTTTGAGATCTTTCTACCCAAGAATATGTCTTTAGTTATTCCAGAGTTTACAGAGCGTTAACACCGAGTAGTTTCTCTCAAGAAAGCTGAGTTAACCCAACTGTGTATAGGATTGACGCTTGGTTATTCCGATGTAATTATCTGCATGATTTTTAGTGCTGTGGTTGTTGAGAGCTGATGTTAGGATCTGAAAAGTGGCATACCTGATGCGGAAATGTTCAGTGCCTTTTACTAACAATAACATTGGGTGCATTATGCAGGAGCAGTGGAAATTACATTTGCAAGATCGCTGTGGTGATAGAACATTCTGAAAGACAAAAAAAAAAAAATGGGAGAAGCAGACAGGAAAAGAAAACCATGTTTTATTCACAGCATTTGTCTGGCTGTGTTCTCAGGCTGGAAGGCGGGGAAGAGTTTACGAGCTTCTCCGTGCTGCACTGTCCTAGGCTGCATGATTTAGAGTAGCCTACCCAGTTCTGATTGAAGTAGAGAATCTTGGGGCACCTGGGTGGCTTAGTCGGTTAAGCGTCCGACTTTCGCTTAGGTCATGATCTCACAGTTCGTGGGTTCGAGCCCCGCGTCGGACTCTGTGCTGACTGCCAGCTCAGAGCCTGGAGCCTATTTCAGAGTCTGTGTCTCCCTCTCTCTCTGACCCTCCCCTGCTCACGCTGTCTCTCTCTCTCTCTCTCTCCTAGAAATAAATAAAAATATTTAAAAAAAAAATGAAGTAGAGAATCTTCAGTCACTGGAATCAAGAGAGGTTGGCAATGTTGTTATATTCGAAAATGCTTTTTGCACTTAAATAGGATAGCGTTTTGTAAGTGAAAATTGGATTTCCGCAGAAAGCACTGATTTGCTATGATGTATCCCAATTTGGTTTTTTGGTATGTTTCTCATAACTTCTGATTGATAGCTTATTTAAAAATATGTTTGGGAAAAAAATATGTGATGTATATTCCTCTGTCTTCACCAGTGTAGTTTTTAGGTCAGTTTTAGGCTGATTAACTTTGCCCTGTCCCTTTAATAGTTTGTTTTATCGATCACATTCAATATATGCGAACTCATAGAAAACCATGGTAGGAAATAAGTCTCTAAGGATTTAAAAAAAAAATTCTTAACTATGTGAATTGACACAAAATGTTGATTTTGAGTTTTGGATATTTTCTGTCCTAATGAGAACATTGTGTGAAGCTTTAATTCCATATTTGGCAGTTTAATTACCCTAATTCAGAAATATTCTGCTTAAAATCTGAAAGATTAAAGAAAGTCAAGAAAGTGGGAGGGCAGCAGAGATGAAAAAAGAGTGAGTTAATTCGACTGCATCCAGTTCACAGGAATTATCTCAGCCTTGTGCCTGTTCGCCCGGAGTCTGCTTTTGGTCGGTTCCTTTCAGAAAAGAATGTTGTTTTGTGTTTTGTTTTTCATGTGGCTTTTTCTCTTTGAGTTGGGACAGGCTGGTTTACAGATATCTGGGCGATTCTCAGGCCTCCTGGTATTCTTGAGGTATTACTATCCCTCTTTTTCCAGTGGATCGTGAGGTACTGTCCAAAGCCAGACGGTGGAAATAGCATCTCCCCTGGGATGTCAGGATGCTGCTGGGCCAAGACCATTTCCTGGCGCAGAGCTGCCTACCTCCTCCACCCAGCTCTGGAATCACACAAGCAGAGTTGGCGGCCCAAAGTCATTTTCACCAAGTCTTTGCCTATAAGGCTGTTTCACTGAGATTGTGCCTGTAGAAAGTGATTCTTTTTTATTGTTTTTTTTGTTTTTTTTTTTTATTTTTTTTTTAAATTTATTTCTGAGAGAGAGAGAGAGACAGCATGAACAGGGGAAGGTCAGAGAGAGAGGGAGACACAGAATCTGAAACAGGCTCCAGGCTCTGAGCTGGCTGTCAGCACAGAGCCCGACGCGGGGCCCGAACCCACGAACCGTGAGATCATGACCTGGGCCGAAGTTGGATGCCCAACCGACTGAGCTACCCAGGCACCCCGAAAGTGATTCTTTAAGCTGTAACGTGTCCTACAACTGTAAACTGGGGGTGTTGGTAACACTATTTCTACTCACTGACCCTTATACACTCTCTAGTAGCACCTTAGTTTCCAAACCAAAAGATTTTTAGGGAATGTGAGCTGCCATTTCCCCCCTTGTGGTTGATGAGGAGTCAGCATCACCTAGTGATTAAGAATAAGGGCCAGGTTCACATGTCACTACACAGCCTCTCCGGCTATGTGACGGGGGATGGGTTGCTCTCTGAGTCTGGGTTTCCTAAACTTCACACAGGGATGGAAACAGCATCAGCCTTGCAGAATCGTTGAGAGGAGTAAATGGATATTGCCAGTGAAGCATTATGCATAGTGCCAGGCGTGTATAAGCACTCAGGAAGTAATTAGCTCTCGTTGCTTCCTGGAGGTATTTGGGGTTCTGTTATTCTAAGAGCAAAGCCAGCAAAAATGAGCTGATTCTCATGACTTAATTAATTGCAGCATCTCTCCTATCCCACCCTTCTTCCTATATTCTATCTTACCTGGAATGTGAACTTATGTTCGTTAAATGAACAGAGAATGGTGGCGCCTTGCTTCTTCCTTTTAAAATGCTGTGCTGGTGTTTACTTCTAAAAAGAAATCATGGCATAATAATACTGTGGGTTCTTTTTTTACAAGTCTAATATTTCGATACCTGAGAATTCTGCCTGGCTTCTCGTCCTGGGATATTAGAAATTGGAGGGAGCTGAGGCTTGTGAGGTCGTCCCTGCAGGCAGTGGCCCTTGCCAGTCCCTCCCAGTGGGCCACCATTCTGCCCGGACCATGGCTGGGCTCCTGTGAGCAGTGTGTATGTTGTTGCGGGGAGGCTATGGGCATGCGGTTCTGGGAGAACACATGTTCCAGCATCTCCTTCTCAGGCATCCATTCCCATTGGGCATAAAGTAGGAGGGTTCCTGATGATTTGTGGCTGGCATTTCATTATTTGTATGTTAACAGTGTGGAATGAGGTTAAAAATTGATGCTGTGGGTGCCTGGGTGGCTCAGTCAGTTAAGGAGCAGACATTGGCTCAAGTCATGATCTCATGGTTCATGAGTTCGAGGTCCACATGGGGCTGTCTGCTGTCAGATCAGAGCCTGCTTCAAATCTTCTGTCTCTCTCTCTCTCTCTGCCCCTCCCCCATTCATGCTGTCTCTCAAAAATAAACATTTTTTTAAAAACACCCCAAAAATTTTTTTAAAAAAAGAAATTCACGTTGTAAGTGGCCATTTGAAAAAGCTCTTTAACTCTAAAGTTTGAAACATTCTGCTTTTGTAGGAGGTAGTGATACAGTGATGCTCCTAATGTCAGGATGGTATTTTTAACAGCGCTTATTGAATCTGCTAATCTCATTTCATCATTTTGTTACAGATTGATGTTCTCAAAGCAGATCTGGAAAGCGCAGAATGGAAAATTTTAGAAAATCTTATTCTGGAAGATGTCCTTGAACAAATTGGACAGCTCACCTTTGAGGTTCATCTCCACTGGCCCGGGTTTGAGGTCAGTGGTGGGGACAGCACTGTCGTGCGGTTCTGGTACAGCCTCCTCAAAGAGTTAGAACTAAAGGGTTTCAGGCTTTTTCATAGTTACAAAGATTTATCTAAACCTCAGCTATTCCTGAAGAAAGACATTTTCAATGCAAGTAGCTGTTATACTCTGAGTTGGGTGAATACAAGATGGAAATAGGATACGGGACCTCATCAAGAACTCAAGGAAATAATTGCAGAATGAGGCACGTCCGGCAGTCTAATTATCGATGTACTTGCGCAGTTTCCACTAGCCTGTTACCTGCGTGAGGTGGGGATCGTGTTATTGCCTCTGTAGTGCATGTAACTCGACACTTGCCACGTGGTAGGAGCACAGTTAACACTTGTGGAAGGGATGGACACAGAGTGCCATAGGAGTCCACCTCCGTCTGTCCAGATCCTAGCCTTCTGCCTGTTTGCCTCTGACAGAGTGGGGATCCTTGTCCTTCATTTTAACATGGAAGATAATCCCCCACGTAGCTGTTTTCCCTAAGAGTCATTAATGTATCTGAAGTCCACGAATTCAGCAGCATCAAGAAGAAATTCTATGCATTTTCCATTTTTACTGGGTTCATGAGATTAAGTGTGTAGCTTACTGTTCAAAATAGGGCCCTTCATTTGAGTCTCAGAGGTTTTTTTTCTTGTTCGCCTTGGTCAATAACATTGTTTACAACCTTGTAGATTTCAATCATTCCTACTTGGCTTTTGCTGAGGGCTATGCTGGGACGTTATAAGAGCCACTGAGTCTGGTTTCTGGGGACTCAGACACACCAAATTCTGTCATTGAGTTTACAAGTCTAGATTATCAAGAACTTCAACTCAGGATTCCTTTACACTCAGCCTTAAATCCCCTTCTGTTCCTATGAAACTAAGCACAAAGCAGAATTTGCATGTCTTTACTGTTGCCTTTTCTGACTTCAGACCTGATTTCTCAACCACCGACGTGCCTATGCTGTCAAATCTTTTTTTTAAATACATTATCTGAAAGATTAAGTAAGTTTTTCTTAACTGCCAATTGGCCTAAGAGCCAAAATCTGTATCTTTCCTGGGGTGGTTATGCAGTATTTCAGTAGTGCCAATCCTTTTTACATTTTTAAATATTAAACAGAGGAATGTAGGTTCTCGGTAGTTCAAACGATCTCTATCATTTTTATTTATAGGATTAGACATCCCTACAAATGATTTTCAAAAATTCTACTTCAAATAAGCTAAATGGTACAAAATAAAGCAAATTATTACCTTATGATAAATGAAGCTTATTTTCTGGCATGTTTTACATCCTGAGAGGGCAGGAAATTTAATGTATGTTGTTTGTTCAAAGAAATCTGGGGAGACAGGAAAATAGTGATTGCTACTAGACTTTATTCCTTTTCCCCATATTTTACCTCCTTTTACTCCAGATGTTCCCTGCATTGGCGTTTTATTTCTTGCAGTGGTTTGAAAATAACCATTCGTCAAGTGAGAAACCGAAATATATTAGCTAGATAATCCTACTAACTTAAGTTCAAAAGGGAACAAGACTTTCTGATTTAGTAGTGATGATTTTTAAAAGTACAAATGAGCTTTTTATTGTAAAACTCATAGTACACTAATAAAATTCATTGAGGTGGGAAGACCAGCTTGAATAAGTGTGAGTTAAAGTAGTAGTTAGGAGCGAAGCGCCTGGGTGGGAGTACCTTGGTGGCTCAGTCAGTTAAGTGTCCAACTTTGGCTCAGGTCATGATCTCACAGTTCATGGGTTCAAGCCCCGCATCAGGCTCTGTGCTGACAGCTAAGAGCCTGGAGCCTGCTTCCATTTCTGTGTCTCCCTTGCTCTTTACCCCTCCCCTGCTCATGCTCTGTCTCTCTCTCTCTTTCGAAAAATGAATAAAACGTTAAAAAGTATATACATATATATATATTAGGAGCACCTGGGTGGCTCAGTTGGTTAAGGGTCTGACTTTGGGTCGGGTCTTGATCTCATGGTTTGTGTTTGAGCCCCTCATTGGGCTCTGTGTTGACAGCTTAGAGCCTAGAGCCTGCTTCAGGTTCTGTGTCTCTGTCTCTGTCTCTCTCTCTCTCTCTCTCTTTCTCTGCTCCTCCCTCCCCCCAGAAAAACAAAAAACAAAACAAAAAAAAATAGCAGTTAAGTTGTTCTCAAGACCATAGATATTTCAAAAGCACAAAGTACCCATTAAAAACTCTGAAGTGGTGCAACTCTCAGTTTGCATGGTGGTGTCTCCAAAAGAAGGTTAACTTCAGCCCAGTTCCTGTTTGGATTATATCGCAGATTCTCTCTTTTATTTTTTAATTAAAATTTTACACACTGAAGTATATACAATAAGCTTCTTTTTTAAAAAAAATGCTAAACCTTTTAAACCTTCTTTTACACTAAAGTTTGAAATGTTCTGATCCTATGTGTCCAATCTGATCAGGTTTTAGATATGTACACAGGCATGTTAAGATTTTTAATTCATTGGATTGAAGATCTATGGAATTACTGAAAGCCCCCTTTGTGCAGGGCACGTTACCATTTATTCCAGATTGGTGGTGCAGAACATTGACTTCATTTCATTATATATATCTGAAGCAAGAATGGCTGTACTGTTAAGGGGAAAAAAACCACTCAAAATAAATCACAAACACACCCACCCACACCCACCTACTAGGCAGCTTGTTCAATAGTTATTTGTACTTATTTTGTGCTTATTTCTAAGACTGTCCTTCATTCCCTTCATGGATAGTTTGAAATTTATGATGAGTAATCTGACTGTTGCCATGGTTTCCCTGCCTCTAAAATTTATTATGCTTATTGTGTGGGCTGGGGTTTCTTAACCTCAGCACGGATTGCCATTTGGGGCTGGCTAATTCCTTGCTGGGGGAGGGAGGGCTATTCTGTGCACTGTAGAATGTTCGGCAGCATCCCTGGCCCCGCTAGATGCCAGGAGCATCTCTCCCCCTCCTCCCTCAGTTGTGGCAACCACAGGTGTCTCCAGACAGTGTCAGATGTCCTCTAGGCGGCAAAATCAAATTGGTGTAGGCCATGATGAGAGAGGGTCTGGGGTACCACAGTGCCGCTGTTTGGGAAGCTCCCGCTTGAGAAGAGCTGGGAAATGGAGAACAAGCACCACTGTAACCACCACAAAAGCAGCACAAACAAAACACAGAGAACAAAGTCAGGAGCCGGTATTGAGAGCTTACTGTGTGCCCCGTATGGTGCAGAGATTGCTCCTGGTTCTCCCAGCAACCCTGCAAGGAAGTGTAATTTTCCCGGTTATGCAGGTAAGGGAGCTCTGAGAGATTAAATAGCTTTTTCAGGATATGCCACTAGCACATGATGGTAGAGCAGGAATCCACATCTCAGTCTTTCAGATCCAGAACCTGGGCTGGTCCCCTTCCCTCCACAATGTCACCTCAGTAGCCTCTAACAGATGTAAGCTGCTACTCCCAATGGATGAATTTTGGCTTTCTTATTAGTAAATGCGGTGGGGCAGGGGGAGAGAACCACAAATACATTAAGACCTGCAAATCTGTTACACGTGGGGCATTCTTGTAGCATGCAGCTTTAATTTAAACAATCTACCTGTGGGGCACCTGCGTGGCTCAGTTGGTTGAGCATCTGACTTTGGCTCAGGTAATGATCTCACACTTTGTGAGTTTGAGCCCCTCATCAGGCTCTATGCTGTGACAGCTCAGAGCCTGGAGCCTGCTTCAGATTCTGTGTCTCATTCTCTCTCTGCCCCTCCCCTGCTCACACTGTCTCTCTCTGTCTCTCAAAAATAAATAAATGTAAAAAAATTTTTTTTAAACCATCTACTTGATTAAGATATGGCTGCCAATGGAGGCTTACTGAAGGAATATGGGGATCCAGCAACTTCTCAGTCAATATTTCAGTTGCCAGAAAGTCTCTTGTGAGGCCTGGAGGCCGCTCTTGGCCCTGGCTCAGCCCACCATGTGGCACTTTCCTCGTGGGCTTTAGAAAGGGCACTGTTGCTTGAAAGTGCAGGGTTTCCTTTGCTTCAAGTGGTCTTTGACCTGCACATACATGAGCTTATTCTTTTTTTTTTTAATTTTTTTTTTTATTTCTAGGAGAAACAGCGTGAGCAGGGGAGGGTCAGAGAGAGAGGGAGTCACAGACTGAAACAGGCTCCAGGCTCTGAGCTGGCAGTCAGCACAGAGCCCGACGTGGGGCTCGAAACCACGAACTGCGAGATCATGACCTAAGCGAAAGTCGGACGCTTAACCGACTAAGCCACCCAGGTGCTCCTACATGAGCTTATTCTTAACAGAGCAATGCTCATAGGTGAATCTGAAAATACAAATTCAATACTATTCTTCAAATGATCAAAAATCTGTTATTTTTTTAGGTGAAAGACATGGAACTTTGTAAGAGATTCAGACATCACCTTTTAGCACAGGCTGTGCCACAATTTCAAATTAAAGTCCAAGGAAAAGGATTTCCCATTTCTCTTAGAGAGTGACTGAATTTGATGCAGCTCACACAGGTTATCATATACGTATTTGATATGTTCAAATGAAGAGAGCCTGACAGAAGTAAACAAACGTCTGGCAGAGTTGACTGAAGGTCCACTAATGTTTACATCAGGGTAGAACCAAAGTAACTGTAAACTCGTGAATTTACAGGATTTAGTCCAGTTAGTTAGTCGTGTGCACCATTTCTGCTTTGGCTATACGGTTACAGATATAGTAAATACGGTACAGGATTTGTATTTCCGAAGTATTACGTTTGGATATTGCAAAGCTTGGATTCACACCAGGGAGCCACCCTCGTCATCACACATTGTCAAATTAAAAATGAAGCCCTCATTAAAACAGATTATCTTACCTGACAATACAATAGTAACTCTAGGCCAATTAATATAATTGTTCACTTCTGCTGGAGATAAGTTTATGTTTGCCTTTTAAGCAATGACATAATTCTTTTTGTATTAGCCAATTGCTGGTTCTTTGTGCGTTTAGAAATACACTTCATCTTGTGTAAAGAAGTCTTTTTCTGACTGAGAGAGGTCATTTGTACTTTATACATGAAATCGAAACCCAAAGATTCAACGTATTCTTAAACTGCCTACATTTAGATCTTATTGAAATACTTTAAATAATTATACTTCTGTCCATAAGGAAAATAAATGAAGCAAGCTAGCGCCATACTTTGTTTAGCACTATATGGAAAAATGCTAGTTCTCCTGAAAACTAATGCTTTGTAAAAGTAGCAATGTTACTGTGGGCACAGTTATGAGAAAGTGATGGGGGCCCATCTCTAATGCAAGAGGCCGAGAGAACATCTTTAGCAGGGTTCTGTTTTACTGAAGAATGAAATACACATAATCTGGGTAACTGAGTGTTTCTTTAAAACTACCTCAGAGAGAGCAAGCTGGAAGCCACAAACATTATGCTGCAAATCTGAGATTTAAAAAATACACAAGAAAGTTGCATTATGTGGAGGCGGCAGAATAGTAGGATGGAAAGAGACAGATTTTGATGCTGTTGGTAACTAGCTGTGTGGTATTAAACAAATCAGCGCCTTTACTGGCCTGTTTTCTTATGTTAGGTTGGGATGTTTGATTTCTAAGGTTTCTTCTAGCTTGAAGATCTTGTTAATCTAAGGTTTTGTTTTTTTGTGTGTGATTAGAGAAGGCTTAGACAGGGGTAGGATAATTTCTTGATTTGTGTGCTCTAAAGGGAAGCCTTAGGATAAATTCAGAAGGATCCAAATGATGTGCTTATTCAGAAGAAAAGGCCCAGGTAATAGGGGACTCTGTTCTGATGACTCTCCAATCAAAAGAAGTGCCCTTAGGCAAAGTACCTTTTTGGATAACACACTTAAACTCACCTGGTTCTAAAAACCATGTCTCAGACTGTACTGGTTTATACTTTTGTTTTCAGAATGTCCTTACAAAGTGGCAATATCTGAAGATACTAGGTTTCGTATATATATCTATGGTGACTCTTCTGTGTGTACACGTGTGAATGTGTTACCTTTTGTACACACACAACACAAACGTATAGACGTATACATTGATACATTAGGCCGAATGGCCCAGAAGGAAAAATCTTCAGACACACGAAGCTCCGAGGGAGCCTGAAGGCTGACAGGTAGAGCAAGACCATGCACTGCAGTAGTCCTAGGAGATGAGTGTTTACCAGGGATGCTACAGGCCTGGCGCACTGGACATAAGGTTGTGTTGGGGGAAAAGATGGGCCAGGACACACCTTCAGCAGTGGGACCCTTGGAGGGCGACAACCTCAAAGGAAGAGTCCTAAAAAATGCACCCCTCTCACCCCTGCCCTGCACCACAGGAAAGCTTATCCTTGCTGTAGCTCTGAGAGGAAGTAAAAGTTTCCTGTGAGAACTTGAAACCGCTGGCCTTTTTTTAAGGTGTTGAATTTATATTAATCTCATGGTGAGGAAAACCATAAGGTGAGAAACTGAGATAAAAAAACTAAGAGAGTGAAGGTTAGAGTATATGGCAGAAGCAAATGTAAAACCATTGTGAAGGGACTCCTTCAACTCAGACTATAAAGGATGTCTTAAAAAACAAAACAAAAAACAAGACACACTTAAGATGAATTCCTAATACAAAGTTATAAGTGACAAGGAAATGGCCCACCATGAGGTAGACTTGACAGACACATAAACACTGGGATGTTCAGCCTAAGAACTCGACATAATAACAAATCTTAAAGAAAATTTAAATTGTTTGAAGTGATGAAAGGCATGAAAGACTATAAAAAAAAGGCCTTCCATAAAGGGTAAGTCATTGGAATACCTTTAAGGGGTTAAGGGGCAGATCAGACACAGGTGAAGAGACTACAGAGTGAACTGGAGGAAACTGCCCAAAATGTAGCACAGAGAACATGTACGTTCCTAACATTTTTTGAGTAGTTTGAACCTTAGAAGATGAAGCAGTAAAGTTGAATTTTTGAACCACGTAAAAAGTGGTGTTAGCTTTGTATGTGTAGCATGGGCAGCCATCAGCCAGTGTTGCTGTGAGCCCTTAGAATGTGGCCAATGTGACTGAGGAACTGCATCTTAAATTGTATTTACTTTTAATTAATTAACTTATATTTAAAAACTTATACCTGATTTGATTATTAGAAGACTCTATTGGCAACAGCTTGGGCTGGTAAATCAACTTGATATAAAATGGGTAAAATATTTCATGAATATTTAGGGTCTGAATGGAGATGGGCTGTGAAGTATAAAATATACACCAGATTTCAAAGACTTAGTATGAGAAAAGTAAATATTTATTTAAAAAAATAATCAAATGTTGAAATAATATCTTGGATATATTACATTAAGTAAAATATTATTAAAATTAATATCTCCTGGTTTTTTTTTAATGTGGCCATAGAAAGTTAAAAATTACACACATGAAAAAGATTACACGGCCTACATTTTTCTGTTCAACAGCACAGTACTGGGACATGTACGTAAAAAATGCTTGAGATTTGAGTTAGTCCCTCAGACCTCAAATGCTGAAGGGTGGAGAGTAGGATGTGGAGAGCTAAAAAAAAAAATTCATCTGAAGCTTGTGACTGCAGTTACAGGAGACTGTACCAGCAAAGGAATTCTCTTTGTCACTAAAAAATAAAGCCACTCTAAGGACTCTGGCTGCAAGTTGTGACTTCTTTTCCCTTAGGTTCCAGATAAAATTGTGGTGTTTAGATTGAGAAAGTGGTTTCTACAATTATTAAAGTGATTATGAGCATGGACAGTATACAAAGAAATATAGAAAATGTATATACATACATATATTCACACACACGTCTTTGTTTTTGGTTAGCAAAATTCCTCTTGAGTTTACCTTGTTTCTGAAATACTCAAGATAAACTCAGACTTTATATCGGTGGTTCTCATCCTCAGTGTACCTGCCTATCAACCAGGGACCTTGCCACAAGTGGAGTTTGATCCAGTGAAGGATATATACTATGAGGATACAAAAATATGAGTATGTGAATGAACATATATGTATATATGTTCACTGGCTCCTCCAACTAACCTCCATTTTCTTCTCCTCTGCATCTCAGTGAGCACCACCATCTCGTGATTCTGCTACAGCTGGTTCTCAGTCCACTCTGAGAATCACTTTTTATCAAGGAGAGCCTCTGTAATCAATGCTGGTGTTGCAGTCCTTATGGCTGTCGTCTGAGGGTTTAAGATTTCACCGTTACTGTTTTCCTCCCCATAATTTATAAACATGCTAAGGACATCAGGCAGCCTCACAGCGCATCATCAAGAATCACTACAGTTTTTTTAGAAGCGCCGGTTTGATGCTGTTCCCCATACTTTATCTTCAGAGTGTCTCCTTAGTTAGGGCAAAACGTTCCCAGCTTGTGCTTCAGTATTTAAATGTTCATTTGATTAAAACTTTCAGTAAAGCAGCACTTTTATTCTAACCTTTAGGAAGGAAATCTGTCCTGGGTCTGATAAAAAGGTTGCAGTGAGGAAAAGGGGCCAGAAGGTAAGCGCCTAATTTCAGTAACCACGTGGTCTTAGGCTTTTTGAAGCTGGACAAGAGACCCACTCATCTGTGTACTCTGAAACAGATGCAGCCAGGACTCAGTGTGACCACTTAGATGCGTAAATATGGAATGCGTTACACTTAATCTATGTGCTCTCAGCGCACCGCCCTGTATTTTTGTTAGGTAACTATAATGAACTTGTTAATATTCCATATTAAAATACCATCCCCACCTCTAACGCGTCATGTCTCCCCATAAAATAAAAATGACCCATTAAAATCTCCAAATGGTTTAATCTGTTGTCCCTCAACAGAGTTGAGACTTAAAACTGAGAATGAAAATTTTGATAACACTTTCTACAAAAATGCTTTATTTAAAAATACGATCTTTTTAAAAAAAGAGACAACTTTTATATACAGTTACTTAGTTTAGGAACAGTCAAAAACACAATAAAATAAACCCAGATTTAGAAATTATGATTTGTAACATATACAATACGGACGCTGGGTGAGATCAAAGTTTAAATGTATGATTAAGCTTTTTGTCCCATCACATTTCAGTAATTCACATTTGTTAAAACCAGTGGCTTGGGACTAAAGAAAAGGTCTCGCGTGAATTCCTTCCTCTTCAGGGAACGGTGGCCACCCTTCCTGGCAGATACAGAAAGGCAGCGGCCAGGCAGTGTAATCTTATTTCTTTGAGTGTCTGTGCATCCCAAAATAACAAGTCTCCCATTTTTATTCTCTTTTTCCATTTTCTTCTTTGGGATTTATTTATGTCTGGCTCTAGTGCCAGGTCATCAATTCCAGGCCTTTTTAAAAATGGAAGTTCTAAGCACAAGGAGCATGAATGGCTATTGATAGCACAGGACTCAGAGCTAATGCCCTTAGGATATCAACATTCAACATGATTTTGGTCTCCAAGTCAGCAGTCCGAGCCACTATGAACCAATCTTTTTAAGCATGGTACTGAAATATTTCAAAGCACATTCAAATATCTTACAGATACTTCTTAATAAACCAGAAGAAATGGCTTGTCACCCAAAGCACTATTAGCTACTGTATTCAAGAGGCTATCTTGATGCCACAATCTGAAAGTTGTTTTTTTTTTTAAACTAACCACAGTGATTGCTTCTCAAAGTAGGGAACCCTAGCCATCTTCCTGGAGTATCACTTTTACTCAAAGTATCAATTTAACTTCTTTCCATTTGGAAAACATTTTTCCAGTCTTAAAAAGTTGTTGAATATATCCACGAGCAAAATCAGAATAATTTTAAAGATAAAACATACAACTTCAAAGAAATGACAAGGTGACATTTTTCGACGATGCCCTCATACCCTATCTCCTATGAGGAGTATTTCAGTAGTAACATCTATGAATCAATGACCTAGAAGACCCTGATTTATGAAAGTGTAGCCAGATCCTTACAGAGAGTAAATACAAATAAAATTCAAAGTCTTCACTCATCCTCTTGAGTTTCACCTTCAAAAATAACATAATTCTCTGATTATATATAGTCCTGTCTGTACTGATCAGGAAGAAAGCCAAGGAAAAAACTCTGGTTTATTTTCCACTGTTTAATAATTAGAGGAATATCTGCAGTCAGAGAAGATTGCTGGCTTACAAGTAAACGTACGATATATGCCATAAAAAATAGCAGAACTCCTGAATCCAAAAGATTTGAACATGACCCACCAAAAATAATGGAACCAGTAATTGTGGGTGGTTTTATCCTTCTTTCAGATTCACATTAAATTACATCATTCCTGTTCCTTACTTCCCTTTTTGTTGAAGAGGCAAACATACGGTGCTTTTCAGAATTATTTGTCGTTAATTATATTATCTCCTTTAAAAACTCCAAATCCACCAAGGACTCTTCCTCAATTCCAAAGAGATCTTTTCAGTATATCAAGGGGGTAAACCCCGACTGCCTGCCAACAATTACCACTCACCAAATGGAAAGTCAATGGTCATTCTCTGTATATATAAATAACATCTACAAAGAACAAAATGAAATTGCCAGTGAAAGTATATGAGACAAGTTTACAAAAAAAATTGTTTTTTAAAACAATGGGTCAACTTCATAAGGCCATGTAAGGAAATCATAATTTGTAAATCAAGTTGTCATCCAACACATTTAATATTTAAATATAGTTAAATATGACATTGGATCAAAAATGACCCTCAATAAGGATTCATCTCATTAATCCCACAATTTAATGAGACCATCCCAACCACATGTGATGACTTTAGAGGTTTCATGAGGGTGCCACACTGCCCCGATGCACACTTTATCATGAGCTTTAAATCGACTGTAGAGTTTTGTGGTCTTCCAGTCCCAGATATTCAATTTTCCATTTCCATCTCCTGAAATCACATAGCTAGAATAGGAAGGAAAAGAAATTCAAATTATTCAAAGACCTTAAAGTGGATAAGGAACAGAGAAAGTGTTTATCCTTTTCCCTGTAACCTTAAAAAAAGTCAATATGAATATACAATACTCAGTGAGAATAACAAGGTAGGGAATAAACAGTCTAGAATTTAAACTTCTACTAAAAGAATCTCCCCATTGAGCTATCAACCTATGAATAAAAATTTATTAACTTGGAAGACTGGGAAACCCAAGGGCCACAATAAATGCAGTATTAAATCACTCTCTAGACAGTCAGCAACAGTGAGGGGAACCAGCTTCACAAAGAGCCAGCAAACACCCCTTCTACCATAGTCAGACTCAACCACCTTCATAGTTATTTTCTGGCTCCAACATCTTTTGAAAATGTCTAAGACTGACTCAGAGGTAGGAATCTAAGGTACAATTCCCAGCCTAAACCTACAAGGTTACAGAGATTTCTGAATTACTTATATCTATATATTTTAGCTGAGAATAGGGGAATGGATGCAGAGTTTCACTCAGAGAGAGGCTCTATCTGGGCTCCACAAATCCAGTGCGGCCTAGAAATAGTCAAGGGCCGGATTTCAGGTTTCAACACAAAAGCTGCAGTGAAGTTGTTCGTGTCAACACTGTGATACAGAATTCTGCTGGTGTTCAATCACAGCAGTAGAGCCATTACAGTCTGCCTTGCCTTGTTAGAAGAGCAGAGAGAAAATACGGCATTGCCTGTGTAAACAGGAACTTATGATGTGGTTAAAGGGCACAGGACCAAGCGGTAGAAGGAGACACACTGCAGAACTTAAAAAAGCCAAATGTAGTTTTCGTAACGTGTTCCTGCCTTTCCAGCAGGCACTGTGACAGACTGCACCATTCTCATACAATTACATAGGCAAGAGGGATTTTTAAAGTGTTATTACTTGTACGACAGTAGTTTATATCATCATATTTGAATATGAGAACACGGGAGATTTCAACTTACCTCATGTCTGGTGAAAAGTCCACCTGACAAGCATAACCTGCTACCATATGGCCCTTAAAAATTTTTTTCTTATTTAGTCTAAATCTGTTCTGTGCTCCAAAAATTAAGATTTGGTTGTCCATTGATTGGCATGCTAGCCATTTCCCTGTAAATTCAAGAAATGGGACATTTTAGAGCAAGACCAAAAATTCTAAAAAGACTTTAAATATCTTCAGACATTAATATTCTCTTGTTACCAACTACTTTACAATAATAGGAAAATGAATTTACTATACTATCTATAGAGTATTATAAATGTGTTGCTGACAAGAGGGATTTATATATAAAGTAATGGATTTTGTGCATATAATCCCGTATCATTAAGCACTCTCCATATAAGAGCTCTTTTTGCTTACGTAAGGATATACAGAAGTTCTGAGTTTAGCATGAACAGGACTCAAGTAAAATTTTATGAAATTAAATTAATTTGAAGTACAACAGAACCATGAGGGAAAAAAGAATTATCTATGTTAATTATGGAAAAAGCAAAGATTACCTCTAGGTGAGAAAACCTAGGATTATTAAATAAAACTATTCAAAAAAGATATAGCACCAAAAAACCACAGTAACTGTATTGAAAGGCCAAATTGCATTTATCTACCCAAGATTCACCAAAGCCTCGAGAGCCTAAACTGTGGGATCTTTTTGCATCCTATGGTACTTGCAGACATTATTAACTGAGGAAGTGCTCCTAACAGTATTCAGTCTGAGAGAGTAAACAGCCTCGTTCTGGGCACAATGTTTGCAATGGGTAGTTTAAAAACACACGACATAAGATGCAGATACAAAGGGACAAATGTGATGAAGTATACAGTATGATGATTATCAAAATAGATAGAACTCAGGTTGCCCTTCTTCTAAAAATTATAGGGCATTTGACAAAAAGGATCACTGATTTGCTGGTGGCAGAATCCTTGATGGAACCATGAACTATTTCTTGCCTCTTTCCTTTTTCTTGTTCCTCACTCACAGGTGCTATGTGAGTTAGCGGTGATGTGATGACAGTGTTGCCCCAACATCAGACCCTCTACTTTAATACCCTCATGTAAAGCTATAATTATATCAGTAAACTGTCACAGTGTATCTGTAGTACAAATTACCCTGCACTTACAAGGCAATGCATTATTGCATAGAAAACAGTATTAGATGGAGTTATCTTTTTTTAATTTTGCCTGAGAAAATCTTTTATGGTAAATTGCTAAAGTGTTTTTATTATGGGGAAACCAGATCAAAATTTTCTATCCCCTGAAAGAGAAAGAACTCAAAATAAATCACTAAATGAACATGATTCTGTCGGAAGGAGAATTATTTAAAAAAAAAACAAACAACCTGATCCTCAGATGGAAATACTTGGATTGTTCAATGTTAGATGCAATTCAGTTTGTTTATTTTTTTTTAAAAACAAGAGAATGGGTGAGGTGACTCACTTATGAAAACCAGTGATTATTTCTAATTTTGAAAAGGTTTCCTTATACAAGTATGGCACTGTGACAGACTTGCCCTAGGAGGGAATGGCCAAAGTCTTTGAATATGGAAATCACACTTTGTCTTACAGGCTCATTTAAAAACACATTCTACCCACTAACTCACCATTTGGAGACAAAGTCACTGCGGGCATCGAGTGCATACTGGGCTCTGCTATGTACTTGAAATCCACAGGGATATCCCTAAAATCGAAAAACAGCTGATCAGAATAAATCATTTTTAAAAAGTACCTTTAGAAGAATTGTCCTTGAAACTAAAGAGATATTCTTGAAATTATATATTTAATAAAACCTTTCGTGAAACTTCCTGGGTGGAAGGAAAATCACAAAGTGGCATCCTGTTGCTTATTACAGATCTTTCACTTCACACGTGCCTTTCCATGAGAATTATAACGGTGTTGGTGGTTTTCCAATTCTATTTGACTTAAACTTTGAGCTTTATGTTAGAAAAAAATCTGTGACTAAAGTTCTTTAACAAGGAGTTCATCTCAAAATGCACCATACTAGGCAGAGGCAAAATGCCTGAGGCCAACCTACAGGGAGGCATCCTTATTCAACCTGCCAGTCAGGCCTGGACTTGCTACTTGGCAGGCAGGTGAGAGTGTGAAAGAGCCTTGAGCGATGCATGTGGCTGTTAGGCGAAGCTGTGTGGGGATCTGCGAGCAGGCGGAGCCCATCTAGAAGTAATGAGATTTCGGCATGGGTAAGGGAGATCAGGGTTTGGTATCTGGACATCTTCTATTCAGTTTACATGTGAAGGATTCTAGATGTGTATGGTGCAGGGGGAAAATGCATTAAGTAAATTCTTATGTGAGTGATACGAAGGATAAAACAAGAACAACAAAAATCCCAAACTAGTCACCCAGATCTAGAATCCTGACAATTTCCATATGCCTTTTTGTTTTTAATATTCTCCCTGATAAGAAATTCTTTAGTAATAGTGAAGGATTTTGGTCTCGTTGCTTTTCATGAGTGACCAGAAATGTTTTTTTACAGAATAATGTGTGGAAAATGTAGTCTGAAGAATAACACAGAATCTAAAGCAGCAATATCAATTTTTAACTATGGTTCAAGTTCCAAAACTTTAACTGGAAAATAATAATAACTGTAAGAATAATTTCCTTTTATGTAAGGATTTTCATTACCCATCTATCTACCCATCCAGAAGAAGCAAACGATTAGAAAAAAATCTCTATGGAGGGGGGAGATGCCTGGGTGGCTCAGTCGGTTAAGTGTCTGACTATTGGTTTTGGCTCAGGTCATGATCTAAAGGTTTGTGAGTTCGAGTCCTACACTGGGCTCTGTGCTGACAATGCGGAGCCTGCTTGGGATTCTCTTGCTCCTTTTCTCTCTGCCCCTCCCCACCTTGCTCTGTCTCTCAAAAAAAAAAAAAAAAAACTTAAAAGAAAAAACTTCTAGGAGGGTCTTGATTAAAAGAAAACATTTTTAGGTGTAACCTGAGGAATAATATCATATATCAAATTTCTAATGCTTTCTACCAATAAGAAGTGACATTTTAAAATAACCCAAATGTATTTAAAAAGAACCTCGGTCTGAAAAAGGCTCAACCATGTGTCTTGATCTTGCGGTTCGTGAGTATGAGCCCTGGATCAGACTCTGTGCTGGCAGCTCAGAACCTGGAACCTGCTTCGGTATCTGTGTCTCCCTCTCTCTCTCTGCCCCTGCCCCGCTCACTCTCTCTCTCAAAAATAAATCAACATTGAAAAAAATTTTTTAAAAAGCTCAACCATCTGACCGTCCTCATATAAAATTATTAGCCAAAAATCATCAGTAACATAGATTAAAATGTAAGAGCATTTCTAAATTAAATTAACCATAGTCTAGGTTCAGATCAATCAATGTTTTACTAAAAGTAAACCAAAAAAATGTATGTAGCTTCCTTCTTTCAAGGAGTCTTGGTACAATGAGCTGTAGAATAAAAAAGGAGTCTCCATGCTCTGTGGACTTCATTATTGCTAGTAAAAATGCCTGCTAGGCATAGTTATATTTGATAAACACAACCCTATTTTCTAATTAGAAACTGTAATTCAGTGTAATAAGCTAGTAACTTACATCTTACAAATAATCTTCAGTCTGGAAATGATATCATTGAAAAGCCCTTAACAAAATCCTATAAAATTTTTAAAGATAAACAGTTGGATCAACCTCTGTCAAATTTTCTTCTAAAAATATTTTAACAAAATAAATACCTTTGGGAGAAAACATGTCTCTGACACCTCATCCATTTATCAATTAGCATACCACAGGCTGCTCAATATGTAATTATAATCTCTTATTCTCCTTTAAAACTGTGTACTAGTCTTACTAATACAGTATTGTTTAAGAAAACCAAGTTTCCTTTAGTTTGTTTGCTTCTATCAAGGTGCTACTCTTGGCAGGTTTAGGGTGTAACAAGTTTAGCAAACAACACCTGTCTGAGAGCCCTAGTAGCAGTAATTTTCCTACTGGTGGGATTAGTTCTCACTTTGAGGTGGTCAGGACCTCCCTTCCTCTCCCAAGCAAGTTGCCAATTACACTAGTAACTGCCTTTCAGGGACAGTTGTATGGGGTGAAGGATATTTCCAGGGATCCTGAGGTGGTTTTGCTTCCTCCTTGTGTTTATAGCAAGACTGATCCTCACTTTCATTTCTTTCCAACTAATCAAACTGGATGCAAGTTATCTTCTTCTCTACCCACCAGATCTTCTTTCATCTAACTATCCAGCCATATAATTAATTCAGGTTCTGGGTGTTTTATGTAAGCCTCAGGGCATCCACAAGGGAAAAAGCCTCTAACAGATACACAAAAGAGAAAGAGAAAGAAATCAAAGCATACTACTATATAAAATCATCAAATCACAAAGGAAGAGAGGAAGAGAGAAAGGAATTAAGGAACTATAAACAGCCAGAAAACAATGAACAAAATGGTACTGGTAAGTCCATACCTATCAATAATTACTTTAAATGTAAATAGATACAAGAGATATATTCAGCTAAACTTAGCTGAATGGATAAAACAAAACAAAGGAAAAAACAAGACCCAACTCTACATTGTATGTAAGGACAAAACAGATGGAGAGTGAAAGGATGGAAAATATATTCCATGCAAATGGAAATCAAAAGAAAGCAGGGGTAGCTGCTCTACTTGTACGAAACAAAATAGACTTTAAGCCAAAAGCTGAAGTAGTAGAAAGGTCATTATATAATAATAAAGGGGTCAATTCCTCAAGAAGATGTAACAAATATAAATACATATATTCCCTACATCAGAGCACCTAAATATATAAAGCAAACATTAACAGATCTGAAGGGGAAAATAGATAGCAATACGGTAATAGCAGGGGACTTCAGTACCTCACTGTCAACAATAGATAGATCATCCAGACAGAAAGTCAATATGGAAACATTGCACTTAAATGACATATTAGACCAGACAGACTCAATTGACTTATACAGAACAATGCACCCAACAGCAACAGAATATACATTCTTCTCAAGTGCACGTGAAATACTCTCCAGGAAAGATCATCTGTTAGTCCACAAAAGAGTCGTAATATCTTTAAGAAGACCGAAACTGTATCATGCATCTTTTCTTTTCTTTTTTTTTTTTAAATTTTAATGTTTATTCATTTTTTGAGAGACAGAGACAAAGCACGAGCAGGGGAGGGACAGAGAGAGAGGGAGACATAGAATCAGAAGCAGGCTCCAGGCTCTGAGCTAGCTGTCAGCACTGAGCCCGATGCGGGGCTCGAACCCACAAACTGCGAGATCATGACCTGAGCCGAAGTCAGTTGCTTAACTGACTGAGCCACCCAGGTACCCCTATCATGCATCTTTTCTAACCACTATGGTATGAAGCTGGAAATCAATTACAAGAAAACTGGAACATGTACAAGTATGTGGAGATTAACAACATGCTACTAAACAAAACACAAGTCAAAGATGTAATCAAAAGGGAAATCAAAACTATCCTGAGACAAATGAAAATAGAAAAACAACATACCAAAACTTATGGGATATGGCAAAAGCCAGAGGGAAGTTTATATTGAAAAACACCTACATTAAGCAAGAAGAATCTCAAATAAACAATTAAACTTTACACTTGAAGGAACTGGGAAAAGAACAACCTATGTCCAAGTTAGCAGAAAGAAGAAAATAACAAAGATCAGAGAGGAAGTACATGAAATAGAGACTAAAAAGATAACAGAAAAGATCAATGAAACTAAGAGCTGTGTTTTTGAAAAAGAAAATCGCCATTTAGCTAAGCTAAGAAAAAAAAGAGAAAAACTCAAAAACAGAAATGAAAGAGACATTACAGCTGATAATAGAGAAACACTAAGGATCATGAGAAACTACTATGAACAATTATATACCAACAAATTAGAAAACCTAGAAGAAATGGATAAATTCCTAGGAACATGCAATTTACCAAGACTGAATCATGAAGAAATAGAAAATCTGAACATGACTATAAGGATATTGAAGCAGTAATCAATAATCACCCAACAACAACAAAAGTTCAGGACCAGATGGCTTCACTGGTGAGTTACACCAAACATTTAAAGAAGAATTAATATTAATCCTTTTCAAACTCTTTCAAAAAATAGAGGAGAATTCTTCAAAATTGATTTTATAAGGCCAATATTACCCTGATACCAAAGCCAGACAAGAACACTACAAGAAAAGAAAATTAGAGGCCAACATCCCTGATAAATATAGATGCAAAAATACTCAATAAGTTTTAGCAGACTGAATTCAACAGTACATTAAGGAAATCATACGACATGATCAAGTGGCATTTATTCTTGAGATGCAACGATAATCAACATATGCAAATCAATAAATGAGATACAAAAATGAAGGCTAAAAATTATATAATCTCAATAAATGCAAAAAAATTTCAAAATGCAACATCCTTTCATAATAGAAAGTCACAATAAACTGGGTATATATGAAAGATACCCATGTGTGGCAAGACCACAGCTAACATCACACTTAACTGTAAAAGGCTGAAAGCTTTTCCTCTAAGATCAGGAAGGGTGTCTCCTCTAACCACTTCTATTCAACATGATAGTATTAGGAATCCTAGTCAGAGCAGTCAGGCAAGAAGAAAAAGGCATCCAAGTCAAAAAGAAGTAAAATGTCTCTGCAAATGGCATGATATTATATATAGAAAATCTAATGACTTCACAAAAACCACTGTTAGAACTAATACATGACTCAGTGAAGTTGCAAGATACAAACTTGATATTCAAAAACCAGTTGCATTTCTAGGCAATAACAATGAGCTACTGGAAAAATAAATTGAGAAAAACAATCCCATTTATAGTAGCATCAAAAAACAAGAAAATACTTAGGAATAAAGTTAACCAAGAAGGTAAAAGATCTGTACATTGAAAAATATAAAACTTTGATGAAAGAAACTGAAGATGACATAGATAAGTGGAAAGATATTGCACGTTCATGGATCTGAAGGATTAACACTGTTATTTATTTATTTTTTTTTAATGTTTTATTTATTTCTAGGAGAGAGAGAGACAGCATGAGCAGGGGAGGGTCAGAGAGAGAGGGAGTCACAGACTGAAACAGGCTCCAGGCTCCGAGCTGGCAGTCAGCACAGAGCCCAACGCGGGGCTCAAACCCACGAACCGCGAGATCATGACCTAAGCGAAAGTCGGACGCTTAACCGACTAAGCCACCCAGGCGCCCCGGATTAACATTGTTAAAATGTCCACAATACCCAAATCAGTCTATAGATCTGATTCCATATCTACCAAAATTCCAATGACATTTTTGACAGAATTAGAACAACAATCCTTAAACTGTATGGAACCACGAAAGACTCTAAAGAAGTCCTGAGAAAGAATAAAGCTGGAGGCATCAAACTTCCTGATTTTAACTATAATACAAAGCTATAGTAATCAAAACAGAAATGGTATTGGTGTAAAAACAGACACACATAGCAAATGGGACCAAACAGAGAGCCCAGAACTAAATTCATGCATATATAAACAACTAATTTTTGACAGAGGAGCATAAAGTATACAATGGAGTAAGTATAGTCTCTTCAATAAACGGTGCTGGGAAAACCTGATATTGACATGCATAAAAATGAAACAGGACCCCTGTCTTACACTGCACATAAAAATCAAGTCAACATGGATTGGAGACTTGAACATAAGACCTGAAACTCCTGGAAGGAAACATAGGAGATAAGCTCCTGCATATTGGTCTTTGCAAATATTTTCTGGATTAGACACCTTAAGCCAGGCAACAAAAACAAAAATAAACAGGTGGGACAACCTCAAAGTGAAAAGCTTCTGTACGGTAAAGAAAACCGTCAACAAAATGCAAAGGCAATGTAAGGAGTGGGCAGAAAATATCTGCAAAGCATATATCCAATTACGGGCAACATCCAAAATATATAAGGAACTTGTACAACTATTATCAAAAATCCAAATAACCCAGTTAAAAACTGGGCAAAGGACCTGAAGAGACACTTTCCCACAGAAGACATACAAATGGCCAACAGATACAGGAAAGTGCTCGACAGCACTCATCATCAGGGAAATGCAAATCAAAGCCATAATGAGACATCACCTTACACGTTAGGATGGCTATTGGCAAAAAGACAAGAAACAACAAATGCTGTTGAGGGTGTGGAGAAAAGGGAACCCTTGTACACTGTTGGTGGAAATGTCAACTGGTACATATAGCTACTATGGGAAACAGTATGGAGATTCCTCAAGAAATTTAAAATGATCCATCAGTCCTACTTCTGGGTATATATCCAAAGGAAATGAAATCACTATCCTGAAGAGATTATTTGTACGCTCATGTTCAATGCAGCATTATTCACAATAGCCAAGGTATGGAAACAACCTAAGTGTGAAAGAATGGATAAGAAAAATGTGGTATTTACATGTATGACATTCAGCCTATAAAAAGGGGAATGCTGTCATTTGCAACAACATGGATGAACCTGGATGGCGTTATGCTAAGTGAAATAGGCCAGAAAGAGAAAGACAAGTACTACATCTTATCACTTATATGTGCAATCTTAAAAGAAAAAAAAAGTCAAACTCATAGAAACTAAGTAGGCTGGTGGCTGCCAGAGGCTTCGATCGGGGTAGGGAAATACATGGTAAAAGGGTACAAACTTAGTTGTAAGATGAATAGGTCTGAGGATCTAATGTATAACATGGTGACTGTACTTATAAGACTGTATTGTATAATTAAAATTTGCTAAGAAAGCAGACAGAATCTAAGTGTTCTTACCAAACAAAAAAGGTAAATATTGAAATACTGTAAAGTAGAAGATGAGCTAACTTGGTAGGAATCCTTTCACAGTGGATACATATATTAAATTATTATGTTATAAACTTTAAATATCTTACAAATTTATTTGTCAGTTATACCTTAATAGAGCTGGAAAGAAACCCTTAAGCTTTGTAATCAGCTTAATACAAGTTTGAATTCTGGCCTTTCATGTATCATGAAACCTGAGGCAAATTGCTTAACCTATTAACTAGTTTCCTCATCTATGAAACAGGGATAGCAAATATATCTATCTCAGAAGACTACTTTGCACATGAAATGAAAGAGTTCACAAAACATGCTTAGGATGCTTGGCACACAGAAAGGACTCAACAGATACAGCATCATTAACGACTCCCTTTAGATACTCAGTGCATATGGAGTGCCAGGCACTGTGCTGGCGCTGGGGACACACTGCAAGCATGGCTGACACATTTTCAGGAAAGAGGAACAAATATGCAAGCACTGGAAAGCACTGGGAAGATGCTGTGTGGGATCACAGACAGGAGACGCCTATCCTTATGTGAGGATTGGTGAGGAAGGCTCCAGTAGCAAACGGGGATTAAACTGAGTTTGTCTAAAGGATGTCATCATTTATAGTCAAACAGTATGACTCTTAGGAGTATTTCTTCAGCTCTGAGAAGGGAAAACAAGACACATGCTGACATCACCCCTCAATTTAATCAAAATATTTTGCTGACCAATGCTCTCACTTAGAAAAGACACACAAGTGTTCTTGGAGCCATGCAACCGGTGCATCATTTAAATCTTTACCAATTTCTTTTAAACCGTTCCACATTTTAAAACAGAGCTGAAATACTGTCTGAAGATAGAAACATCTGAAAGCTTAAGTATAATCAAACTGTTAAAGCATATAAACAAAACAAGTACATGTATATGTTTATGCTTCGGAGTACTGTGCAAGTAGTCTAAAGCAGCTCATATAAACCTTGGGTCCATATCAGATTCTGTGCATGTAACAACATTTCTGAAGTAAGAGAGATCTTAGTTATAAGACAGTCTCAAAGCATGGACTTGAAGGATGACATAAAAACTATACATAAAGGAGAAAGTCAGCTCCTCATGAACTGGAGTAATTTGTAGGGGTGTACTGGTGCTGAGTGTGGGAGAAATTGCAGTGAAATTACATGAAACCTTCAATTACTCAAAGTTCCCTGACAATGGTTAGGGACCTGCTCAGCTCCCCAAAGGGACTCAGTTTTCAGTTTCAGGAGGAAACTACTGGCTGTAGTTCAGGGCTTCCCATTTCCTAAAGCAGAGCAACTTCTACGGTAAGAAGTCACATTTTCTTTCTTCTTTTTTTTTTTTTAAATTTTTTAATGTTTTATTTATTTCTGAGAGAGAGAGACAGCGTGAGCAGGGAAGGGTCAGAGAGAGAGACACACACACAGAATCTGAAGCAGGCTCCAGGCTCTGAGCTGGCTGTCAGCACAGAGCCCGATGCAGGGCTCAAACCCACGAGCTGTGAGATCATGACATGAGCCGAAGTTGGACGCACAACTGAATGAGCTCCCAGGTGCCCCAGAGAAGTCACATTTTCTAGTCCCTGTAAGGCTATAACCACGGTTCAGCTATGCTTCCTGACTATAGAAACAACCTAGGCTCCATCCAAACATTCATTTTAACAAAAGGATTATTATGCAATTCTTTGTAAAGAAATTATAAAACATGACCTACGACGCGGAGTGAAACTAGCTTTAGTATTTCTTGGCTTTAGAAAAATATTTTGGTTTTTTGTTTTCCTCTCTGGGAAAGCAACATTAACCAATACAGTCTACAAATAAAACATTTGTTTTTCTACCATTATGGGCTACCACAATGGGTGATGACACAAGGCAATTTTCAGTACTAAATAATCATAATGTAGACGTTTAAAAAATTAAGATATTTTAAGATATTTTCTTTGGCTCTAAGGCCAGGATCTAACACTCAATGCTAGCCATGAACAATATAGTCTAAAAATCTGTGGGCCCTATGTGTCCTCACTCATTTTACAAAGCACCTAATAAACAATGTAAGTCAACACAATATAAATTTGTTGGCAATGTAGGAAAAATAACTCAAAACACATAACCTATGGATAGACTGTCCCAAGACTACTAAAGGTAGCATGTCTAAATTTTTACTTCCATATTCTGGATACTTAAATATTTAAAAGAGTTCGGTTGGCAAGCCAGAGATCACAGTTGTGAAAATCTTCAAATGGTTGCAGATTATGAGGGCTGGTCTTTCTTTGGCTACAAAGTTTTAAATTGCTTGCTCTTTATATATGAATCAGATTTTCTGACAGAAACTCACCATTCCCAAACTCTGAGGCTCTTGTCGTCAGATGTGCTCACAAATCTCCTATTCTCATCCACGAAAACAATGGTGTTGACAGCTCCCAAATGCCGATCGTACTCCTGAACAATTTCTCCACTTCGAATGTCCCACTGTACATCAGACAAGAGGTAAACACAGAAGTGGAGCAGATTGATGAAAATAAAGAAAGATCAGAACTATGGAAAGTGAAGGAGAAAAAGATCTCTAACATAACATTTTTTACAACTGACTATTTTCTACTAAAAGCAGCAATCCCTAAGAGCAGCAAAAGTTAAACATGTTACTATTCTTTATTCCATCCCCTAATACAACATAAACTGTACAAATCTTACTAAAATACTGTGAGAAGACTTACCTGCACAATCTTTTTATCAGACATACCAGCTACAAAGAGATTTTGCTTATCTTCATCAGGATTGAATTTGACACAATAGGGCACTTTTCGATTTGTAAATCGTGATATGCACTGTCCTAAAACCAAAGACTCAAGTTAGGGTAGGTAAAATAAACTCTGGGATTAAAAACTAGAGGTCATCTGCTTAATAAATTTTGGGGAAGGACAGCCTGCTTGTTCTTTAGTATAAACTGCGTTATTCTTTTTCACAGGTTCTTAATGACTAAAAATAATTTTTCAAAAGTAAATCATCAATTGCAGAATAGGTAAAACGATTATGACGTGGAGCCAGAGATAAGAGCCCCTGTGGGTTAAGAGTATGGGCTTTGGCATTAGACCTTGGTTTAAATCAGTTCATTTACTAGCTGTGTGACTCTGGAAAAGTTACCTCGTTAATCTTCAATTTCTTCATCTATTATAATGATAAGAATAATTATAGGGATATTTTAAGAATTGAATGCAATACTGGATATAAGTGCACAGCACAATGCCTGGTAAACAGTAAGTTTCAATAAATATTAGCTATTATTATTACCCTTAAAATTCAGTAAGATGAAAGATGGTTATACAAAATCATAGCGGCCACAATGTACTGATGCAATTTAATGTTTATGAATATATAAAACCAACTGGCCTGTGGGCCTGTAAACTGACTTACATTTTAATCAATGTGGGCAATTAAATTTAATGTTCTTCAGACATTTATTGTGCTTCAAGTATGTGCAATGCCCTGTGCTAGGTGATGGAAGGGAACAAGAAGATCAATTAAATAGTCTATGGAAGATTTCAAATTAGCTTGTCTATCAGCGTGTTTGCTTTATAAATTGTATTTGGTGGAAACAAAACTTCACAGTACAAAAGCAACTTATGTAGTTGAGTTTCACCTCTACATTTTGTGGGATTAGCTAATAGTAGTATGAGAATCAGCAGTTCTAGATGGCACCATTTGCCACAGAAGACTGCTCACACTGTTTCATTTATCAATGCTAATGTAGAAGTTAAATAAGTATTAGTATTAGTACAAGTGGGTCTTACCTGTCTCAGTGTCCCAGAGCTTAAGATACCTATCATAGGCTGCGCTGAGGAACTGTGTTCCTGCAGTATTAAAGCAGATGTCCCTAACAGCTTTACTGTGACCTAAAGGTAGAGACAATACAAATGGAGGCGAGTTGAAATATCTTCTTTTAAAATACAAACACCATAAGAGAAATAGCATTTTCAAGCCACCCTTTGAGTCAAAATCTCTGGAATCCTATCCCCTGACTTACTGACTCAGACTGAGTTAGGTGTGGGCTTGGGAATGTAGGTGGTTTTTTATTCCCCCTTCAAAAAGCTCCCTAAGTGTTTCTGATACATAACATTTAGATAAGAACCAAGAGAAAAGCGCTAACATTTTTTTTTTTTTAAAGTTGGTCATAGCAATCTTTTAATATGTAATACACATAACTGATGACTAAGCAGTCAAGACTTTAAGGAAACATAACAGGCCAATTATTGCCAACGAAAAAGAAGGGACTAGTGACATGTGGGAGGTTCACTCTCCAGATTACTTACTAAGTGAAACAAAGTGACCTAACCCTCAAGTTTATGGAATCACAGCTCTTCTTCAATAGCTGTAGATTTCTGTGATCACATTACCAAGTTTCATAGAAGTGAATACAGAATCTCAGAGACTAATAAACCTTTTTGAAACAAATATCAACTTCTATTTTGTTTTAAGATAGAATTTTGATAGTAAATTAATTTTAAGGTGCTTTGCTTGGAAATCAATCCTGCCAGACCAGTCAACTCTTGTGAAAGTTACAAGGAAAAATACAATGAGGCTAAATGAAAGCAGAAATTTTCCTATTTTTTACCACCCCATCATGACCAAGAGTGACAAGTACAGTTGTGCAAAATATGCACTGCACAAGTTGTCAACGATGCACAGCAGCCCTGAACCACCACCACCAGTGAACTAGTCAGGCTATGTGCTACAGTAATTAGGCATTCTTTCCTATGGCAAGAATCGCATCTTCCGAAAGGTGATTTTCAGTTTTCCACTAAAAAACTGTCTGCCAGTGCAGGGGAGACAGATGGGGACCAAAGCCACTAAATGTACAGGAGGTATTTTTGTTCCCCCGTGCACTGCTGAGAGCCTTCCCACAAGTCCCCCTACAAGCTGCTACAGCACCTTGGACAGTATTTATTTGTGTGGTGAGGCCCTAAAATCATAACAAAGCCTGCAGCATGGACTCCCACTTGAATCTAAAAAGAGAGCCACTACGATTTACACAAATAGTGTTTTAACGATGTACAGTTAAATCTGGAAACATAACCAGCCTTCATATGAAATCTGACAAAAACTGTAAACAATTCTCTACCAGAAAGCTTTGCCACAAAGCCATTCTCTTTTTGGCCTTATTTTCACCTTCGAGGAGTTCAGTCAATCTTATCCTTTCGTATGTTTCAGCTGTCAATTCCTAACTTCTCTTCAGAGCCCAACATCAGGCTATCTAATTGCTTACTGGACATTTTCATCTCCATGTCCCAAAGGCAGCTCAAATTTAACAAGTGATACCTCATCATCCTCTTGTTTCTGCTCCTGGCAAGTGGCACCACCATGCACCCAGCCAGCCGGGAGGCACCCTAGATTCCTGCTGCACCCTCCTCGCTTACATCCAGAACTGAGTCCTCCTGACGTTTAACTCCTGATTGTTTTCCCTCCCTGTGCGCTGCGTTAGTCTTTTCATCTCTAATCCAGACCAATGAAATAACCCTGTAATTCATCTCCTTGCCAGCAGGCCTGCCCCACCAAAACATCTTCCATACTGCCACTGTGATCTCTGTAAACTTCAAATCTGACCAAGTTAATTTCCTACAAAAGCTGTTTAATGAGTGGCTTTCTGAGGCCCTCTGAATAGAGGGAGACACAGAATCTGAAGCAGGCTCCAGGCTCTGAGCTGTCAGCACAGAGCCCAATGAGGGGCTTGAACTCATAAACCCTGAGATCATGACCTGAGCCAAAGTCGGATGCTTAAGTAACTGAGCCACCAAGGCACCGAATCTGCACTCCCTACTAACGGCATGTAAGGTCCTCCGTGCTCTGCCTCTGGTTATACTGCTTGTTCTGCTTGTCATCTCTCACCATTTCCCATACCCTGGTACCTCTGATATCCACCTGCCTGCCCCAAAGCAGCATGCTTTCTCAAGCCACTTTTGTCTATGTGGAAGGACTTACTCCCTCTTCAAGACTCAGCTCAAGTTTTTGAAGACTTTCCTTCATTATTGGTATAGTAAAATTACTGTCAATGATGTTATCTTAGTTTAAAAAGTCTTTCCAAACAGGGGCGCCGGGGTGGCTGTCGGTTAAGGGTTCGACTTTGGCTCAGGTCATGATCTCGTGGTTCGTAGGTGTGAGCCCCGCACTGGGCTCTGTGCTGACGGTCCAGAGCCTGGATCCTGCTTCTGATTCTGTGTCTCCTGTCCCTCCTCTACTTGTGCTGTCTCTCTCTCTCTCTCTCAAAAATAAATAAACATTAAAAAAGAAAAAGTCTTTCCAAATAGATTTATAGCCAAAGAGAAAAGAAGTATTACCAATAAATGTTCGTAGACAGCGCCTATCTCCATAAACCTCCCATAGCTGGGGGGAAAAAACACAGAGAAATATTAAATTTAATACAAGGCTTTGATAAAGTGACAAGTTTCAATCAATACAACAGTCGTATGCTGGCTATGTGTGTGCATATCTGCATATACAGGGGATTTAACCAAAGGCATTACATATTAGTGAACATGCTGCTTAGAGCTGTTAGTCTATGTTGCAACATTTGGGGGACACACACACACACACGAATTTGAAATCTGACATGGAAAGATACACCAAAATACCAAAAGAATTTAGATGGAGATAATACAAGTGATTTTCACTTCTTGTTCTTTTCTGTATTTGATATATTTTCTAGGATGAAAGTTTTTACTTGTGTAATATTATGAGCTACTACTGGTAGAACTAAATGCTATTAAAACCTGCCGTGTTTATAACATCTTGGTACTTACCAAGTGTATTTGATTTTTTTTAACTTACTGAAGTAACAAAATATTATAGAAGCTATATGAAAATGATATCTAGACTAAAATGTAATAGGTTAATAATTCTTATCACATCTGAAGTGAATCAATACAATAGCTTCAAAACTACCTTTATTCTTGCCTACCTCCAATCAAATCATTGATAATGTTACCAGTGTTCTAAAATAGAGAGCCCTTCCTGGCAACCCAGTGCTAACAGCATCCAGTCTCAGTTCCCGCAGCGTACCAGGCAAAGGACTTCTAGTACCAGGTCCTTGCCCACGACTGTCGCCATTCTGTATCTCTCAGATTTGGGACTCCAGCAACCACAAACTTGGAGTGTTCAGCACGTGCCACGCCTATCCATCCTATTTACTCTTTTCGGACCTACTCCATTCCCTCCACTCCCTACCCCTGGAATCCCCTTTACTTAATTCTTCCTACTGAAGTATGCTTCCTCCTTGAAAACAGAACACCTTAGGCCTGTCTCTATAAGCATCATTTACATCATGAAGAAATGATCACCCTAAGGGCAGGGACAGGGTCTTAATAAATATTTAGTCTCGGCCTGTTGCACATATTAGGTACCTAATAAATGCTTAGGAAGTGAACTAAATTGAACTCTATGCTTTTTCAATTGATCAAAAAGACCTTAATCTTAATGAATACAGTTTATATAAGTGAAAGTTAAAGGAAACCAGGGTCTTTACTCCAAACTGTTAGCCTGTAATTTTAAGCTACTGAGTAGAGACAAATGCCTAAATGATTGCCCTCATCAAGAAAAGCTACCTTCATGTATCATTAATATCTATGAGTTGTTTACAGAGAGTAAAACTTTAATGATTCAACTTTCCAAGCCTCAAGAGTACAATAGGGTTGGTATGTCTTGACCATTATAACAATGCAGACACAGAAGACACAAAAAAAGAGAACTATTCTTTTAGATTTTAGATCCTTTTAAAAGGCTTTTCCCATGTTCAAGCTGATACGCACTGGCAACTGAGCTTTTTTCCCTCATACTCTATAGCTGAAACTTACCTTAAGGTGGAGCTTCCCAAGACTAAACCCTGAGAGAAGAGGCTGGGAGCATTTCCGCTAATTGTTGTCTACTTATATTTATAAGAAAAAAAGATGAATTATGTTACCTACTTTTTAAAATGGGATTTCTATCATGGGTCCTCTCTACCTCATAAGATTCTGAGGAACAGATGAACTCATATCTGTTACATATCCAAAGCCTCTATAAAAATGCATTATTAGTGATTAAATATTTATATAACCAAAGGCAAAGTGATTGATTACATCCTAATCAGTTATCTAAGGTTACAAAAGAGCCTAGCCAGTTGGACCACAGAGCCATATTTGAATCAACATGTTTGGAAGCAATTCATAAAAGGCTGCATTAACGGGGCCTAAGAGAAAATAATTAGCCTCTAATTGCCTAACAAACCCAAATTCATTTATAATTAACCAAACAGATGTAACCAAAGAACTAGCTTTGCAGCACTCCTACTCTGTTACTGAAAACTCACCTTAATTTTACAGTCCATGGAACAAGACAGCAATAAATGGCCAGAGAGAGGAAACAATCTGACAGCACTGACGCCCTATAAAGAGGTATTAACAGTTATCAGTCAGAAGGAGTCTAATGTCAGCTAAAATGAAACATACAGAAAGGTTTTAAGCAACCTAATTTACTGTTTTTCTTAATTCCAAAAATCATGCCCCAGAATGACCTTTGTTAAGTAGTCCAAGAGCAGCCTTATTGACACTGAGCTTTTGAAGATTTGTTTTTTGACCTTTAATACTGACTTTCTCACCCAAGGGAATTCTTAGTCAATCAAGTTGCTAATGCTCTCACTCCTCTTCCTTCTTTTACTCAGTTCCTTTGCTCTTTGCTAAGAGCTGGAAAATTACCAGTTGGAATAGAACAGATGACAAAGAATATCAACATCAAAAGTTTCAAGTACCTTGTCTCTGCATTAGTTTAAATATTATCATAGTTTATACACCAGAAACTATCTAATCTTAAGCATGATGATCCCAAGAGCTAAGGCAACATTACTGAGATCTTGGTGCTACTACCAACCCATTATTGACTGACATAGTCCCAGAAAAAAGTAGATTGTGGTAGGAATATGTAGGGAAAGGCTTGGGCTACCCATAAGGGGACAGAACACTGAATTATGAGTGTTATGTCACAGCCAATCCACATGACCACTTTGCTTACCTTTGTATGTCCAGACCACACATGAATCTGTTTCTTGGGAAGATAACACTTCTCAGGGGGCACAGTAGACCGTAGATTAACCCCAACATCCTGAGGTATGTGAAGATAGGATCTGCCTTGGTAGTCATACATTTCTTTAACTGAAATAAGAAGAGAAAGGAAAGCAGTGAACAAATACAAGCTACAGTCATAAAATCTATATCCTTAAATGAAAACATTTTATTCACAGGGATATTGTTCCCTAGGAAGGTTTAGGTGCTAACACTCGGATGAAGTTAAGAGCAAGTGTCAGCTAAAATTGAGCTAATGGTAATAACTGCTATTATTTACAATGAGAGGTAATACTTTGGAATTTCTAAATACCCAGAGACTATCAGACCTTTAAATGAGATCTATACTTCTTTTACTTAGTTATACATTTTAATGATACATAAAAAAGACTTCCTTGCAGCATAATTACAGCGAGGGAAGAAAGATAATACTTGGGCCTTGTGAGTCACTGGCAAAGACTGAGAAGCAAAACAGGATAAAAAAAGAAGTTAAAACAAAAACATCAACTATCCTTTTTCCCTGCTTTCCTCTTTCATGCCCTTCTAGGTTCCTATTCCATTCTCTTGTCCACTTTTAACACAGAGTGAAGTCACTGGTGGGACTTAAATGGCATAGTGTATACAAAACATTTAGCGGCATGTCTGCCACAAAGTGGTGGTCCTCAATAATGTGGGCTGTTGTTTTTTTGATGGCTGCAAGCACCACCACACACAGTATTAAACACACTCCTTGGAGAGAAAACTCCAGAAAATTGGAGTTTGAGAAATCAAATATGGCCTTGTCAAACCTCAATATCTGATATGTGATCTAACATTAGAATAATCAATACATCAATACTAAAATATTCTTTACAATTTGCTAATCACTACATAATTTTCAAAAAAATAACTATTAAGGAACCAGGTACATTCGAGAATATTTATAACTTATTTTGGACTATTTTTCCTGATGTAGTAAAGGAAATGTGCATTTCCTTCCACATATCAAAATTAGTATGAGAATTTTAATCTCCAGTCTATTCACATGAAAAAATAAAAGGTTTTCTTTTAAGGTATAATTTAGTAAAGATTATAAATTAGGAGGATATCTGGAGAATATTTGGCTTGGGTTAAAAACAAATAGTTAAAATGACTGGGGCAGAGGCGCCTGGGTGACTCAGTTGGTTAAGTGTCCAACTTCGGCTCAGGTCATAATCTCACAGTTTGTGGGTTTGAGCCCCACATCGGGCTCTGTGCTGAAAGCCAGCTCAGAGCCTGGAGCCTGTTTCAGATTCTGTATCTTCCTCTCTCTCTGATCCTCCCTTGCTCATGTTCTCTCTCTCTCTCTCTCTCTCTCTCAGAAATAAATAAAACATTAAAAAAAATTTTTTTTTTAATGACTGGGGCAAGAGCCTGTCCTTAGGAAAGAACAGACTGTGAACAATTCAGATCTGTTCTTTATCTACCATTTTAAAAAATTCACTAGCACTTCAAAGAATCATCTGTGGCGATCATTAATCATTCTATTTTCTCTTTTATCAGAACACAGAAGAGTCTGCTATTATTTCTCTGAGATGCAAATAGTCAATACAATTCTTAATACAGTGAAGTAGAGCAGCTGACTAATAAGGGCAACTGATGTTATATGAACAGAGTAACTATCTGAAAGTTTATCATAAAAATGAAGAAGCATAAAAAATATACTACCATGTAAGATTGTCTTCTCCTCCCCAGGTTTCTCTTCTTCCTGTTTGCCCTTTTTCTGCCTCTTAGCTGTGATTTCATCTAATTCTTTTTGTTCTTCCTAAGGAAATTAAGAAGTGAACTTTAGAATGGATGTTTTAGAACCCCACTGTGCCCCAAACTGGTCATAAATGCTTTACAATGAGGTCCACTTTTTGGTGAAGCAATAGCTGTAAGTATGTCTCTCCGAAAACAATCTCAACTCTTTGACAGGCTACAAAATGACAGAAACACAAAATGGGTACTCGTTAATACTTTTAAACTCATTTTATCCAAAACTCAGGTTTCCTTCTGGAACACCCAGAAACAAATTTAATGTATTACACTAATTATGTAAGTAAAAAGACAAAGCAACTAGAACATCTACTACTGGAAAGGAAACTCAACATTAGGACACAATGTGGTTCTCCAGTAACTACAGCTTTTACTAAGCTGTAAGCATATAAGCACTGACTACAGACCTGTGTGACACAACTTTTATGCGAGGAGCAGTGGAAGGAAGGTGGGGTAGTAGTAAGTCCCTATCTATAATAACGAAAAATTCAACAGATGATGTCTAATGTAAATAAAAAGCAGCATATGCATATGACTGACATACACAGATGAAAGATACAGCTAGAACATAAGCTTCATGAGGACAGGATTATCTTGATCTTGTCCACTGCTATATCCCTAACACCTACAATAGTCACTGCTTCAGAGTCCGTAGGATTAGGAGGGGAAAGGGGCAGATAGGGTTCTATAGTTTTACTTTATAAACTTCATGGTATTATTATTTTAAAATATAGATTATTATATATTAAAAAATTTTAAATATATTAATAAATAAAACCCATCATCAATTCTAAAGTCACAGAAGGCTGATTTGGTAGTTACTGAGTATCTAGTATCGGAAGAGCAACCACTACAGTAGCTTCACAGCATTATCAATTTTTGTCGAATTTTAATTTTTATTAAAAAATGTTCAATATTGTATTTTAATAAAAAAAAATATGGAAGAAAATAAATCAGAAAAAGGGTAAATAAAAGTATTCCCAGGGCACCTAGATGGTTCAGTGGGTTGAGTGTCTGATCCATCCATGTCAGACCATGATCTTGGGGTTTGTGGAATCGAGCTCCATGGTCAGGTTTTGAACTGCTAGTGCACAGCCTGCTTGGGATTCTCTCTCCCTCCCTCTCTGCCACTTGCCTACACGTGCTCTCTCTCTCTCTCTCCCCCATCAAAATAAATAAATAAACATAAAAAAATATTCCCAAGAAAAATGTAAAAATCTTACTGTATTTTCTTAATCAACCATGGCAGGGAAATACTAATGAGTGAGTCATCATTTGGTTCTCTGAGGAAACCTCAGGTTTATTAATATAGATATCCTTTACAGACACACAGCATCTACCTGAATTGGCAATGAAAAACATCAAAGCTTACTTCTGAGGGTTTGGCTACATCTTTTTCATCCACGTATTTTGCCCACGGTCCCAAGAAACCATCAATGTTAGATGCATCATTTTCTTTGAACTTTTTCCTCTTTTCTATTTTTTTCTGACCAGTTTCAAACACAGTTAAACCTACATTTAAAAAAAATAGAGAGGTTACAAATATGGGTATTTTCTAAAGAAACAGTAGCATTGATATAAATATATATATATAAAATATGTATTTTTACTTTGTATGGTTAAAGGAAAGTGAGTGTTCAAGTGACCAAAGATTGACTTAATAACACAAAATAAAATCTATATGAATCTTCCAGATAGACCAACTCCTGATATACAAAAAGACTCAACCTTCTGGGAAGAGAAGCTTCCCACTATTGCAAATATTTTGCAAATCCTAATCTATTTAAAGAAAAGACCCAGCTACGCAATCCTATAATGATACACGATCCTTTTAATGAATCATGGACCTAGATCAGTGGATTTTATCACATTTTGAAAAAAATCCAGCAATTCAATATTGCTAAATAATGATAAAGCTAATTTTAAAAGCAAGAATAAATTAAAATTTATCATTTAAAAACTGAATTAGATTAAATTACATTAAGTAATAATTTTGATTCACTTGTAATTCAGTATTAATTAAACAAAGTTTCACAAGAACTGGTATTCTTCCAAGTGGTCTCAATCTAAACTTGACGTCTAAATCATAAAATCTTAGGATTAAAAAGGAGGAAAGAGGATATTTCTGGTTGATGTTCTGATTTGAACAGTAGGAGGTAGCACTCTGTGTGCAGTCACGAAATTGGAAAAAGAAAAGTTTATGGGTCACAGTCACAACCTAACTATGTAAAAGATATGGCTTGTAGAGGTCTAACTTAAAAAAGCTTACCTATATTAATTCAAATCAGTTTCCTTGAGGTTGTATGTTACAACAAAAGCTTGTTAAAATTCTGTTCTAATAATAACGTAGCTCATACACCGAAGGTAGCTGGATTATATGATACAGGGTCTGTAGCTACTAACAAGAAGTCCTCATCCAACCAGTGTTTTCTTTTTCTAATGAGCATATTTTATGGGTAAGATTCCAATGATGAGCTTGTGACAAGTTAGCACTTAGAATACGATGCTCTGTCTTATAAGTACAAAATGATTATGTGCACAAACATATATTCTAAAACACATATTCAAACTCAGTGTTCAACCCTTTAAAGACAATCCTCACAGACAATGTATAATAAAACTTGTTCTGCTCTGTAAAAATGTAGCTTGACATTAGTGTTGAAAAATAAATTGCCAAGATTAGCTACACATTAATCATAATTTATTGAATGATTTCTACATGGTTGGCACTATGCCAAGAGGTCACAACAAGCCAGAATAATAGGTACCAGCATCTTCCCTATAACATTCCACACCTAGTTAAGTGGCAAAAACAAGCTTTACACTATAATAGTTCTAAATTAGGCTGCTCTAAAATATATTACTGTATTGTCTCAGCTTAAAATAAAACCAACCTAATATAAAACACTAGTTTTTTCTTACTGCCTGAAGTCAATCTGCAAGACAGTAATCATAAGTATCTGTATGTATGTATACACAGATAAAGACACATACATATATACCTGATATTAAATATTTCAAAGAAATTTAAATAAATTACCTTGATTTTTTTCAGCTTCTTCTACAGAACCAATATATTTAGTAGACACTTGGTGATTATCTAACGAAGGGTCTAGTGCATAACCTGAAAGGAAAAAAAAAAATACATATTACTGACTCCATTTTTGACATTTATAGTTCATTTTATTACTCTACAAATACAATCATCTCACATTTTCCTTCCCAGATGTTGAAATGGTCTCTTTAAGTTAGGACCAAATCCTTCTTTCCTGAGGTACGTTTCTTTTTGAACAATTAACCCAAATCTCAGGGTGGACCATGGATGACTTCAGTCGAGTAAAAAGTATTCTTATAGGATGAATGTAGCATGTTGTTATTACATTATTAATAGTCTCTCTGGCCAGGATATCAAACTTTAGTCTTAAATTCTAAGATCTTAAAAATATATGTATATCACAAGTTCGGAAGTTTGGAAACTGTTTCCTTTTTGTTTTTGGTAATATATAATACATAGCTTTAGTGTATCAAATTATATAAACTATTAAATAATTTAAAAAAGAACAGACTAAGAAGAATTCTATAAAATCTAGCTATTATTTTGAAAATGCTATTCTCAGGAAAGATAGCCTTGTCTCTCAATTTTAAAATAATGCATTTCTACTTCATAAATCACTATATATGTTTCCTTGGTAAGAGAAGTAAGTAAGAATATCTACAAGCATGTGAATACACTGCTTCAAAAGTGATAAAGTAAAGCGCCTAGGTGTCTGACCAGTTGGTTGAGTATCTGACTCTCGATTTCAGCTCAGGTCATGATCTCGGCCCATACTAAGCTCTGTAATGAACACGGAGCCAACTTGAGATTCTCTCTCCCTCTCTCTCTCTCTGTCTCTCTCCCNAAGTGATGAAAGTATGTAGCTACTATATATATATACATACATATATACGTACATACATACATATATATGTACATATATATATAAATGTCTTTAGTGGTCTTTGGGAACTTAAGGAAAGAAAATCTATCTATATGAACTCAAATCAATTTTTCCTTAAGTGAGGGTCCTATAGCATGATAAATGTTTGATGAAATTAGTTTTAGTAATAATCTAGCAAATTTATAAAAGAGAACTAGATCATTAATCAGTTTATGGCCTATAACTTGCATGAATAGTAATAAAATATATAAAGTATTAGTCAATTTTTTAAGGGGTACATCCTAGTGGATAAAGTTGACACTTTAATTTTCTAGCTAAAGATTAAAGAGAACTTCTGGGAACAAAAGAAGATTCGTCATTAAACGTACTTTCAAACAAACAAAGGATACAGGTGTTCAACTCATCGTAATGATATGCTAGACTAGAAACAACCATTTGACTATTAGCTCATTTGCATTGGTTTTTCAGTATTAAAATATGTTCTTAGGCAGAGGCAAAAGCTTGGTGATAGAAAAGCAGTTATGGAGTAGAATCTCTGAAATCACAGGTTCAAATCTCATGAGTTATTTTATCTTTTGTCTCTTTGACATGCAGAACAGTGTTCTGTAAAGGATTTTTTAAATGAGACTTTATAAGGCTCATATAAAATTTATACCAACATATCTGATGTTAAAAATCCCTATCTTAATCATAAAAATTTATCTAGAATGTAATTCTATCTTGTCAGAGAGTTATATCTATACAAATGACATAGTATTATGTGTTTGGAGGGATGGAGTGGGAGGCAGAGAAGAAAGGAAGATCCCTGGTCATTCTCATGATATCTGTGAAAACACCAATCCCCATTTCATTTGGCCATAGTCTGGTTTCTGGGACAGGAATTCATGCTCTCTTCCTTTTCTACATCATCTATGGTAAAATAAATCTTTACTGCCATTATCACCATTACCACTACTGCTTCCCAGCCCAGGTAATTAAGGGACAAAAATATTTTCCCTTTACAAATAAGAGAAGTTAAATATGTAGCTATATGTCAACCAGTGACAGAACAAGATATAGTTCTAACACTACAGAATTTTAGTCTCATTAGATTTCTATTATCCTATGTCTCAAGTAAGTTTGAATGTCTGTATTTTAGTTCTGAGTTATTCTCATCATCTATCTTTCTAAAGTTTGTTTTCCTTTTTATATTTTTAATACAGTTAATATCTACTTTCTTCCTCTGTAGTCTGCCTGGAAAGCAATACCAACTTTATTATTAGATCCTTAAGATTATTAATGCTAATATCCCAATGTGTAAATAAGAAAATATAAACCATCTGCAAAAGAATCATCATAAATATGTGGAAAAACCTTCAACCTCACTGGCAGTCCAAAAGAAAAAATTATAAGAAAGAGATATATTTTTATTATCAAATAAATAAAGGAAAAACAATCATACAGATCTTGGGTACAGAGAAATAGACTTTTACATGTGGTGGTAGCAGTAGGAGTTAGAATTCTTTAGGACAGCAATTTGACAACATATAACAAAACCTTTAGAGACACTTAACATTTGGTGATGCGCAGGAAACCATTAGGACACTGCTCAGACCTGCTCTCTAGCCACCCCCACCCCACTCTTGCCTCCAGGGCACATTAAAGTTCCAACACCTTCACTGACTCCAAGTACTTCACAACCAATAAAAGAGGAGAAATCTTTGAGTTGAAGGCCAAAGTCAACAATAAAAAAGAAAAGAGGAAGGGGGCTATGAAGAAAGTGACTGCTGCCATGACGGTGGGGAGGGGGGTGGGGGGCGCCAGGACATTAGCTCTCTCTTTCCAGATGTAGTGAACTATATGCAAAGAGACAATCTGGAATTAAAGAAACTTGTGTATCTCTATTTGATGAACTACACCAAGAGTCAGCCAAACATGGCCATCACGGCTGTCCACAGCTTCATGAAGGACTGTGAAGATTCCAATCCTCTTAATTCGGGCTTTCACAGTCAAGATCATGGGGTGCATCTGGGTGGATAAGATTACAGAATATCTCTGTGAGACCTCCATGACTGCCTGAAGGATGAAGATCCCCGTGTTTGGAAAACAGCAGCAGTCTGTGTGGCAGAACGCCACGATATCAATGCTCAGATGGTGGAAGATCAGGGACTTCTGGATTCTCTTTGGGACCGCATAGCAGATTCAAAGAGCAGATTCACTCCCAATGGTGGTGGCTAATGCTATAGCAGCATTATCAGAAATCAATGAATCTCACCTAAACAGCAACCTACTTGATCTGAACCCACAGGACATGAATAAACTGCTGACAGTGCTGAATGAGTGCACTGAATGGGGCCAGATTTTCATCTTGGACTTATCGGCTACTTACAACCCTAAAGATGACTGGGAGGCTCAGAGCATCTCTGTGAGTATGTTAACTCTCCAGACATCTCATGCCAACTCAGCAGTGGTGCTTTCAGTGGTAAGAGTCCTAATGAAGCTTTTTGGGTTGTTGCCTAAGGACTCTGACTACCACAAAAGGCTGAAGATGTTGGTCCCTCCGCTTGTCACTTTGCTGTCTGGGGAGCCAGAGGTGTAGTAGGTCGCCCTAAGGAATATCAGTCTAACTGTCAGAAAAGGCCTGAAGTCTTGGAGCAGGAAACTGAAGTCTTCTTTCTGAAGGACAATGATCCTATCTATGTTGAGCCAGAGAAACTGAACATGGGGATTCGTCTGGCATCCCAAGCCAACACTGCTTGGCAGAATTCTGGCAGAATTCAAGGGATATGCCAAAGCGGGGGATGTTAGCTCTGTTCACAGAGCTGTGTGGGCCAGTCAGGGTGTGCCATCAAAGTGGAGAAGTCTGCCGAGTGCTGTGTAAGCACACTGCCTGATCTCATCCGGACCAAAGTAAATCGTGTGGTCCTAGAAGTGACTGTTGTTAGCAGGGACATGTTCCACAAATACTCCAACACATATGAAAGTATCATCAGCACTCTGTGCGAGAACTTCAGACTCGCTGGATGAACCAGTTGCTGAGGCAGCACAGTATGGATCGTGGGAGAATATGCAGAGAGAACTGACAATGCGAAAGAGGTACTGGAGAGCTTCCTGGAGAGTTTTCACTATGGAAACCACCCAGGTGCAGTTCACTCTGCCTAATGCCATAGGGAAGCTGTTTCTCAAGAAACCATCAGAAACACAGGGGCTGATACAGCAAGTCTTGAGTTTGGCAACACAGGATTCTGATAATCCTGACCTTTGAGACCAGGCTATATTTATTAGTACCTTCTCTCAACGGACCCTGTTACAGCCAAAGAAGTAGTCTTGTCTGAGAAGCCACTGCTGAGGAGACTGAGCTTACTGAGCCATTGCCACCAACGTGGAACAGACTCAGGTTATCCTCTCTCAAGATGACCTTCTTTTTAAATTTTTATTTATCTATTTGTCTATTTACTTTTGTGAGGGAGGGGTGTAAGTGAGCGAGGGGTGGGGGGGCGCAAGAGAACAAGGGGCAGAGAGAGAGAGAGAGAGAGGCAAGGCTCACCCAAAGCGAGACTCGAGCTCACCTGATGTGGGATCAGAACTCCCCAACTGCAAGGTCATGACCTGAGCTGAAGTCAGATGCTTAACCAACTGAGCCATCCAGGTGCCCCTCTCAAGGTAACCTTCTAGGAGATCTTTTAAACCTTAAACCTTGACCTTGGTTCCTCAGTCAGTGTACCACAGGTGTCCTCCAGGCAGATGGGAGTATTTACCTTAGGAGGAAGACTAGATAGTCTAGTGGGACAAGCCTCCATCCCTTCATCAGCGCCTGCAACCTTTGCTGCTTCTCCTATTCCTGTCTTGGTCAACAGTGGTATGAATGACCTGTTTGAACCCTCCATGGGGACAGGCATGGCACCTGCTGGATGGGTGGCTTCTAAGCCTGTCTGGCTGCCTACAGTAAAAGCTAAAGGCTTGGAGACATCTGGAACATTTATTCCCACTGCCAAGAACATATCTATATGGAAATGAACTTCACCAACAAAGCTCTGCAACACGTGGCAGACTTTGTGATCCAGTTTAACAAGAATAGCTTTGGTGTCACCCTCAGCACACATCTGGCTATCCATACACCACTGATGCCAAACCAGAGCACTGACGTCTCCCTGCCTCTCCATGCCTTGGGCCCGGTCATGAAGACGGAACCTCAGAATAACCTGCA